ACCCGCGACCCTCAGATTGTGAGTCGAGCGCCTTATCCACCTGGCCATGTCCAAATAAGCTATTCTAACATTTAGTTTACAGTTTCAGAACTCATATGTATAGTATAACACACAAACATTTCTGTTTTAAATTGATAGAAAATGGCGTTGTTTAAATTACAAACATTTCTGTTTTAAACTGATAAAGAATGGCGTTATTTAAGCTATTGTTTGTTTGTAATTAAGCACAAAGCTACACAATGGGCTATCTGTGCTCTGCCCACCACGGGTATCGAAACCCAGATTCTAGCGTTTTAAGTCTGCAGACATTCCGCTGTGCCACTGGAGGGCTTTTTAAGTTATTACAAACACTTCTCTTTTAAACTGATAAAGAATGGCGTTATTTAAGTTATTAAAAACATTTCTGTTTTAAACTGATAAAAAAATGGCGTTATTTAAATTATCATTAGTCCTAGAATGCTGTAATAATATCACAGACATCTTATTACTGATAACGTTTCAGCCAGTCATGTCCGAAGTATTACCAAAAAAAAAGTCCTTGCTAAAATGTACTAAAGATTCAATGACATTCACCCTAAAAATATAAAAACTGATTTTTATTTATTTCTTATTTAAAAACAACAACAACAGAGCACAAATTTTCAGTGATAAGCTTGCTTCGGATGCTAGCTCTACAGAAGCTACTAACAAACTCAGATTACATATATTTATTAACTACATTCCTAGCCTAAAGACGGCTCAGGAGTGGAGTTAAGCTTGTCGGTAAATATTAAACGTGAAAATCAAAACCCGATTGAGATTTGTTTAATTATACGGAAAATGTTTTTCAGAGCAACAGTATTTTACGCTTTCAAATATCGGATGATTATTTGAACAGTAACTCACTAATGGTGCCCTACTAAATAACAAACGGATCAAGGATTTAACCAAAGAGGAGAGGGGGACACTCTTGTAAACTATTTTCGCCGCTACGTGGTATTCTAACATTTTTTTCAATAAATTAATTTTCTTTTTGATAAACTAAACTACAATGTTATCCAATGAATAACAACATTACACTTCGATGTCATAATAAATACGTTATCCAACGAATAACAACATTACACTTCGATGTCATAATAAATATGTTATCCAAATGAATAACAATATTACACTTCGATGTCATGATAAATACGTTGTCCAAATGAATAACAATATTACACTTCGATGTCATGATAAATACGTTGTCCAAATGAATAACAATATTACACTTCGATGTCATGATAAATACGTTGTCCAAATGAATAACAATATTACACTTCGATGTCATGATAAATACGTTGTCCAAATGAATAACAATATTACACTTCGATGTCATAATACATACGTTGAATATTAAACAGCTTTTCTTCATCTTTGTTTTACAAAGTTTTAACAGCGTCATATCAAAAGCAATGCAGGCACGTCTGCCAAAAGTAAGTCCAGGAAGATACAGATAATTTAACATATAACTTGGGATGTATATTGGGTAAGCTTGGAAGAATTACGAGTTACGATGACGTTTTTGTTTTAGCCAATAATTTCGTTTTACTTTGTTATTTCCACTGCCTTTAGTTTTTACTTCGGGTTATTTCTTGTTTATGATAAATAAGAGGCTCCAAAAGTTCACATCTGAGATATTTAATTTAAGATTTGTTTGTTTGTAGTTAAGCACAAAGCTACACAAAAGGCTATCGGTTTCTAGCGTTGTCAGTTCGCAGGCGCCCCCCAGTGGCACAGCGGCATGTCTGCGGACTTATAACGCTAGAAACCGGGTTTCGATACCCGTGGTGGCCAGAGCACAGATAGCCCATTGGGTAAACTTGTGCATAATTACAAAC